AGCAGGATAATAAAGGGAAAGTAGAAGTTGAAGTCATGGACTAAAATTGAGAAAATAAAAAGAAATAGGTGAAAAAGAATTTCAAGTCCAATTATGAAAATTATTGAGTTGAAATGTGAAGATTTAAGACAGTATATAAAATGGTGCATAAATTTGATGAAAATAAAAGATTAATACCCTAGAAATGAAAAGCTGAAAACAAGTTGATGGCATTGAAAATTAAGAATAAAATATCTAATCGAATAAAAGAGAAACATGCAAATTGACCACACCTCTGCTATGCTCCAAGTCACGCCCACCAGCCAATCAGAGCAACAAATTAACCCAACCAAGATGGTGGCCGGCAACCATAGAGCTGGAGCAAGCAGGAGGCTTGGTTGCCCTGGTGATGGAGGAAGCCAAGTTTCTTGCCTGCCCTGGCTGGATGTGGACTCCACTCAAGGCGACAAAGTTTCAATTATAGAAGATAAATAAATCCCAGATACCTGCTTCCAGCTAGCCTCCACTGGGAGCTTGGGGGACTGGGGTCTTGGCCAGTCTGCAAACAGCTATTAGCCCCTCACCCAGGATGACCATACCCTCATGGGGTAAGGGTTTCTGCTGGGGGGCTTGGCCAGCCTGCAAACAGCCATAAGCCCCTCACCCAGACTGGCCAGGCACCCCAGCGGGGACCCCCACCCTGAAGGGGGTGTGGCCAGTCTGAAAACGGCCCTCACCTCCTCAACCAGGCTGGCCAGGCACCCAAGTGGGACCCCCACCCTGATCTGAGACACCATTCAGGGCAAACCAGCTGGCCCCCACCCATGCACCAGGCCTCTATCCTACATAATGAAAGGGTAATATGCAAATTGACCCTAACAGCAGAATGACTGGGAATGACTGGTCACTATGACACACACTGACCACCAGGGGGCAGATGCTCAATGCAGGAGCTACCCCCTGGTGGTCAGTGCACTCCCACAGGGGGAGCGCTGCTCAGCCAGAAACCAGGCTCATGCCTGGCGAGCACAGACGCAGTGGCAGGAGCCTCTACTGCCTTTGAGGCAGCACAGAAAACAGTGAGCCTAGCAGTAAGGAGCAACAAGCAGGCGGGCGGTAAGGAGTGAGGGCTCCTGGACTGTCAGAGGGTGCAGGGATGGGCTGAGGAACTTTTGTGTACCGGGCTTCTAGTAATATATTAAAAAGGTAAATTAAACATTTTTAAACTAAAAGAATAGAAAGGATTAAAGGAAATATTTTTAAATAAAAATAGTCGGATTGAGAGAAATCGATCATAGTGGAGAAGGGTTGAAAAGGGCAGAGAGGTAAGTTAACTGCAAGTTTATGACAAGTATGTGACATAGTTGTTTGTGGGGGTCTAGCTTCCATGTGGCACAGAGTCCCAGCTATAGAAATGGCGGCCTTATATCTGTAATGCTGAAGAGAGCTAGCATGACATCCTGATACCCCTGCCCTGAGTCTCGTTCCCAGACCTCTGCCTTCTTCTTCTCCTTTTTTTAAAGACAATAAGGCATTTTAATTATTTAGTGCCCATAGAAAATTGGAGTTCTTGAATGTTTGGCTTGTGACTTTATTTTATTTTATTTTTTTCTGTAGTAAATAGATTCCTTTATTATTTTATAAAATTATACTTAAGCTAATTCTTTAGTTTAAAAGCATGTATCATTTTTTTCTTTCAGATGTATGGTATAGTGGTTAGATAATCATTTAATTTACAAAGTGTTTCCCCCAATATTTCCAGTACCCACCTGGCACCATACATAGTTATTATAATATTATTGGCTATATTCCCTATGCTATACTTACATCCCCATGGCTAGTTTGAAACTAACAATTTGTACTTCTTAATCCCTTCACCTCTGTCACTTAGTTTCCCAAAACCCTCTCCTCTGGCAACCACAAGTCTGCTCTCTGTGTCTATGAGTGTTTCAATATTATTTGTTTGTTTTGTTCTTTAGATTCCACATAGAAATACAATCATGGTATTTGCCTTTCTCTGTCTTATTTCTCTTAACATAATACCCTCTAGGTCAATTCATGCTGTCACAAGTGGTAAGATTTCATTTTTTTTTATGACTGAGTAATATTCCCTTATATATATGTATCACTGTTTTATATGGAGTCTACTGATGGGCATGTGGGTTGCGTCCTAGCTTGACTGTTGTAAATAATGTTGTAATGAACATAGAGATACATATATTTTTTCAAATTAGTGGTTTGGATTTCTTTGGAAATATATCCAGAAATGGAATTGCTGGGTAATAAGGCAGTTCCATTTTTAGTTTTTTTTGAGGAAACTCCATACTATTTTCCACAGTGGCTGCACCAATTTGAATTCCCACCAACAGAGTATCAGGGCTCCCTTTTCTCTACATCCTCACCAATACTTGTTTGTTGATTTACTGATGATAGTCATTCTGACCAGTGTGAGGTGATATCCCATTGTGATTTTAATTTGCATGTCTCTGATGATTAGTGATGTTGAGCATCTTTTCATATATCTATTGGTCGTCTGTATGTCCGTTTTAGGAAAATGTCAAGTCCATTTTTTTAATTGTATTGTTTGTTATTTTGGTGTTGAGTTGTCTGAGTTTTCTAGATTTTGGATCATTAACACCCTTATTGGATGTATCATTGGAAAATGTTTTCTTCCAATTAGTAGATTATCTTATCTTTTTTTTATGCTTTCCTTTGTTGTGCAAAAACTTTTCAGTTCATTATTGTCCTATTTATTTATTTGTTTATTTATTTATTTATTTATTTTGTTTATTTCCCCTTGCCTTAGGAGATGTCAGAAATAATATTACTAAGAGTTCAGTCCGCAGGCAGATGCTCTATCCACTGAGCCAAACCAGCCAGGGCTCGCATCTTACATTTAAACCTTTACTCTACTTTGAGTTTATTCTTGTAGAAATCAGAGGTGCTTTTATTTTTGCAACTCATTTCTGATTCAGGCTCCTCAGCAACCTTGTGAAACAGAGGCCATATGCAACAGAGATGCAGTTCCAACCAATTACTGTGGATTTTACTCAGCTGGTGAAGATGTGCTGCCAAGCAGAAAAACGTGAAACATGTTTCCAAGAAGAGGTATTCCTGTTTCCTTGTATATTCTCTTAGCACTCTTAGGACTTATCAAAGTTTTAAAAAAACAACAACCTTCTTTTCTCCATTCCGATCTGTAGTGGATTAGGAAAAAAATCATAGTCTAGAACAGCAATTTTCAACCTTTTTCATCTCATGGCACATATAAAGTATTACTAAAATTCAGCAGCATATCAAAAAATATACTTTTTGCTTATGTGACCAAAAACAAGTATAATTTTGATTGATTTACAAGAAAATAATAGTAATTACTTACCCTTTTTGCTCTAATGTGACTTTTTTTAAAAAGCAGTTGCCTATACTTGTATATAAGAATTTCTGGTCCAAAGAATTAACCACTTAGACACAACCTTATTATGCAACATGACCAATAAGATGCAACTCTATTATATGACCTATCTATTTATGGTTCAAGACAGGGCATTCATGCCTGATCAGAGTGGCCCAGTGATTAAGCATTGACCTTTGAGGCCAGAGGTCACTGTTTAATGCCTGGATTGTGGGCTTAGTCCTCACTAGGGGGCATGCAATGATTCTCTCTCATCATTTATGTTTCTATCTCTCTACCTCTTCCTTCCTCTCTGAAATCAATAAAAATATATTTTAAGAAAAGAGACAGGGTATTCACATCAGCAGCCACTGTTGTTTTGGCTATTATCATTTTTTAATTTGATAATCTGCAGCGGTTCTCAACCTGTGGGTCGCGACCCCTTTGGTGGTCGAACGACGCTTTCACCGGGGTCGCCTAAGACCATCCTGCATATCATATATTTACATTACGATTCATAACAGTAGCAACATTACAGTTATGAAGTAGCAACGAAAATAATTTTATGTTTGGGTCACAACATGAGGAACTGTAATTTAAAGGGTCAGAAGGTTGAGAACCACTGAAAGGGAAAAGAGGTCAGTGCCCCTGACTAACTAGTCGGGTATTGCATGTTTTAAAAATTCTGCAGCACACAGGCTGAAAATGGCTGATCTAGATCGACTGGTGTAATTGGGTTTGGGATACCTTAGGGTATGTTAATATTTATATTTATTTGAGGAAACTAGGAGTGTTAAACATGATTAGAGATGAATACAAGGGTCATGCCACCAGATGCACTGGGGTTGTTTAGGATTGGGAGTGAGCAGAAGAAGGTGAATTGAAGACTTTGGTAATTGTAGAGAAATGGTGTCCTTGGAAATATAGAGAAATTTTAAAGAAATAATAGTTTAAAGATCTGTCTGAGCAAACTGTAGTTTTGTTCTAGAAATTTTCAAAGGCCACAATCAGCAAGAGTCACCAAATGTAATTTGGGGTTTAACTAGGAAATGTAAAGATTTTATTTTCTCAGTAGGCCCCTGACTGATTAGGGAATTGGAGAAAAGAAAGAGGAAAGAACAAATGCCAAATCAGAGTATCTCTCTGTGCACACACACCGAACTGCCTACCAGGAGACTGTTTTCAGTAATTAATGTAATTGCATATAGTTAACAAGCAAATGACTTTTCGTAAGATGATAAAGTTGTGTGACTTAAATTTCATGGTGGCACAGAATTTCATTTAAATTAATAGAGAGGAGTGGGACGGACTGCTCTTCCAGGGACATGACTTGAGGAGCAGAAACTCAGATACAGTAGCTAATAGTATCTAAGCAGAAAAATGCAAGGATAAAGCTAAAAAATCATAATAAAGCAGCCTTTACAGTCAAAACTGTAAAACCAGCTGAGGCTGGTTAGGACTGGGGCTAAGTTTAGCAATGGCCCATGAAAATGTTTTTATAGGTAGCAATTTTCATGAATGCCTAGTTACCTTCAGTTGCCCTTTTCTACCTATTCAACTATATTATGTGTGTTATATTAAAAGTCATATATCTATAGTCAAGTAAAGAGTAGGCAAATTACAGCTCTCAGGCTAAATTGGTTCCACTTCCTGTTTACGTAAATACAGTTGTATTGGGACATGGCATGCCCATTTATTTACATAATGTCTACCACTGCTTTCTGTCTACAATAATAGAATTGAGTAGTTGCAGAATTAAGTTGTATCAGAAACTGTATAGTAACTGCAAAACCCTCCATATTTACTATCTGGCTGTTTACAGAAAAAAATGTGCTGACCCCCAGACTAGCCGATACACAAAATGAAAATAATCACCTATACTAGAACTTATTTAGTTATTTTAAAACCTCTTTACTTTTTTGTGAAGTATTAAGAAAACATGTCTCTACCTGAGTAACAACAAATAAACACTTTTGCAGAAGGGCATGTGCCTGGGCATTCCCAAGAAAGTTTCCTTGCTCTTGAGTATGAATTGTGCTTGCTCCATCTATTTCATCATTAGCATGACAGCAAGATTTTTGTGTGCTTTTCCCCACACTTTTTTGCCTAATAGTAATTTTCAACCAAATAGTTGAAGAGCACAAATATTTTTCTTTTCCCTCCCCTTTCTCTTCTATTTTCTTTTAGTGTTTCTTCCCAAATAAAAGAGATAATAGAAATTATCTAAAAAAAAATTATGTTAATTAAAATTTGTTAGAATTACTTCTAAAATGTTTATTATAGGTAACTATGCAGCATCTCTAAAGTTAGGCCAAGTTTACTTTTGTAAGTATTATTTTTTCTTAAAAAAAATTTTTTTTTATTGATTTCTGAGGACCAGGGAGAGGGAGAGAGATAGAAACATCAATTATGAAAGAATCATTTGATAGGCTGTATCCTGCACGCCCTCCACTGGGGACCAAGCCCACAACCCTGGCAAGTGCCCTGACAAGGAATCAAACTGTGGCCTCTGAGTTCATAGGTCAATGTTCAACCATTGAGCCATACAGGCTGGGCTGTATGCATTTTTTGAAATGGTCACAAGGAAGATCAGGTTTCTGGGTCCTCATATTTTTAAATATAATTTTATCATATATTTGCACCGTATTTTTGATGCTATGTCAGTCGGGATTCTTTGGTTGTAAATAATAGGATCAAATTGTAGCTAACCTAAGTAAAAATTAATTTATTGAAATGACAGTGGTGGCTTCAGGAATCTTTAGGAAGTTTAAAAAATAGGCGAGGCAGCAGACAAGAGCCAAAGGGAGCTCAGAATCAATGGCTCTCTGGTCTTCTAGTGCTGGTGCACCTCTTCACTATTCTGAGCTCCTATTTCTACACTTTGGTATATCAGTTAATATCATACCAAAGGCTTTCCTTTGGTTTCCCAGAACTTCAGCAATGTCTCTTACATTGACGTGGGATTGATAGGGCTTTATTCTTTAAGACTTTTTGTACATTTTTACTGCTATTGAATTGTAATTTTGGAAAAGATGAGAGACAACACATGTTAAAAGTATATTGGCAAATTATGTCCAAAGAGTTTCCAGATTGGAAAAAGGATTTAACAGTATGTCCCAAAGGATATGGAGAAATAAACTGGTAATGTCTATCCCAAAGTCTTAGGAAGGGTGACATGCTAGCTGTCTCCCAACGTGTCCAGCATTATGGGAAATCAAAGAATGGCTGATTTGGTCTCAGGGTAAGATGTTTCCTCTTTCTTTTCTCTGTTATCTACATTCCATCAGAGAAGTCCAAATTTTGTATTTTAAAATCTTGCTTGTGCCTTATCTCAAAATGTGGAATCATCATCACTTCTTATCTCATTCTGGGCATTCTTCATTATTATAGTAATCTTTTCCAGCACATCCCGTCTTCCTTATCATTCTTCCCTCCTTCCCCAGCATTTGTTATCATAACAAATAAGAAACTATGGAATAAGTAAGGCCAGGAAAGACTGATATGTAGAAATATGAGTTTCCCCAATATTGTTAGATTCAGAGAAAATGAACAAGATTAAATATGAGAATCTTGAGGTTGCTTATAGCAAAGTTCTTACGAAGATTGATATAAAAGTCTTGGCTTACCAAAGAAATGACCATACTTAAACTCCAGAGGTAGTTTTAAAAACAAGCCTAAATAGATTCCAATCTCGCTAGATAATTCAGGTGTGGTGCTGTTTGAGGGCTGGAAGGAGGACTAAATTAATAGACTTCTAATATTTTCCACAGGATCCTAGGAGCTCTTAGGAGTGTAAGCCATTTAGTGTGTGTGTGTGTGTGTGTGTGTGTGTGTGTGTGTGTGTGTCTTAGCAGTGGAGTTCTATGTGATGATTTAGCTCAAAATTAGCCTAGAGCAGTTTTAAAATTCAGTGAGAAGCTGATGTTGATTGTCCATTTTTGCCTTGCAGCAAAAGCATCCCATATTTTTTTTTTTGTGAGGAGGCAGCAAATTTTTATTTATTACAGGTCTGGGGTCTTGAAAATGGGAGAAACATTGCAGTTAATTAAATCCTTAAGCTAAGGGGCTGGGCCTGTGGGAAATTCTAAGACAGTGAGAAGCAGGCACTCAGAGCCCATCTCAGGAATGAAATAGGGAAGCCTTAAAGATGTTCTGTATGGGGATCAGAGCTATTTAAATGTTTTTGTTTGTTTTTCCCTGTCTCACAGATGTGCTTATTTCCTTTTTTCCTTAGGAGTCCAAACTGATAGAAAAGTGCCGGTCTCTCTTGGGAGGCTAAATGATTCCAGAAATGTCAGTGTAGGACGATTGCTGAGATCTGCATTTTGTTCTTCATGAATAATGAAACCCGTGTCTAATATTCAAGCCAGCAATTATTTTTCAGCGACTCACAACATCGCCCAAGAACTCTAGCCAGTCTACACTGAATTCTCCTTTCCTACTCAGCAGAAAAATCTGCTTATTGTACAACCCACTTTCATTCTCCATTCCCCCCATAACTTTTCTGCTTCTTAGAATCAGCAACAGAAATAGGAAGTCAAGGCATCTTTGAAGAGCCTCAGGTAGATGGAATGGGCTGCCGCATCCACTGGAAACTGGCTGCTGGGTTTTTAGAGTAAAAATATCCCAAATGCAACTGGAGCTTCTGTCTATACCACTTCTAAAAGTGATCATCAAAGAACTGAATGAAGTGTGCTTTGTAATAAAGTTACTTTCATAATTATTTTGTCTTCCATCTTTACGCTATATACATGATGCTGGACGGGTCCTACTATATTTAAATTAAATTGAGCTTTCAGTGACAATTTATAATAGTCTTTTCCCCAGAAATCCTGGAATAAATGACATAAAGAACTTATCATGGACTTTTTAACTTTTCCAGATCTCTTTTTGTAAGGAAAAAAAATAAGTTGAAATATTTTAGTACTTACTAAATAAGTGAATTATTTCTACTAGAGAAAAACTGTAGTTTTCATTATAGTGCTCTTTACTTGATTCTAAATAGTTTTCTCACTCTAGTGATTTCAGCATACTTATATACACTAGCAAGTTAAACCCAATAAACATTTGTTAAGTAACTCTGATGTCCAATATGCTGTGCTAAGTGCTGCAGAGAATAACATGAATATGATAAGGCCAGATCACTAATGAATTCATACAAGATATAAACACATAAGGAATTACAATAAAGGACACGTTTCGAATTTCTGGTATCAGAAATCAGAGCACAGCTAATTGATATGATGCACAGGAGTATTGATGCACACACATTGTCACGGAGACCAGGAAAGGTCATGGTCAAAGACTAGAAAATGGGCAGTTTCAACAGAGAGAGATATGGTAGTGTGTGAGGTGTTTCAAGCAATGATTTGACTAGCTTTAAGACAAGAATGAAGTAATGGGCATAAGATTTAGTGGAAGATAGGGCTACAATGATGGGAGGGGACATATCAGAGTTTAATTATAACAGCTGATATCACACACTTCTGTGCAAAGTGCCAAGCACCCATGTATTTTGATCATATTATTTACATGTATCATTCCTATAACTCCTACAACCATCTCATGAAGTAGGTACTATCATTCCCATTTTACAAATGAGGACACATAAAGGATGCCAGATTGAGGGAGTATGATTTAGGGTGAAGCCACAGCCTGAGGTGGTTTAAAAGTGTGGATTCTGAAGCCATAGATTTGATGTCTACCTAGCTTCCTCACCTCTTCGTGGCTTCTTTTCTTCATCTATAAAATTGGGTTGAAGGAGTAACTTCCTCATATGCTTTAAAATAGTGCTTCTGAAATGGTAAGTGCTATTAGTTTGAACAATATGAATTGCTGCTTTTGTAGGTCAAATATTGACAAAATGGCTCAATCTAATAGGTTCTAGCTATTATTATTAATTTAGAAGACAAATGCATTCCATTAAAGGCTTTTGTCCTCCTATTCCTGTTTTTCTTTCATGTGTAGATATACCAACATAGTAGTACACCTGCCAGCTTTTCCACCTCACCAACTGCCTTGCGAATGGACTTTGGCCCCTTCATTTTCTGAAACCAATCTGATTAGCCCTAAACAAGATGCCACAGTAACACGGAATAGTAACACTGAAATAACTGAATATTTCACACAGCCAAGAGATAATAAACTATACCATCATATCATGGGAAATCATATAGAAAAGGCTCTGTTTGTACTTCGTCAGCAGCTGGATCATATTTGCAAAAAAGGAGACATACATACAGGGGATTTTATAAAAATATTTCAAATAATTTATTTACCTCTTCACTAATTCACTCAGGCCTTTATTCAGTTGATTTTTATTGAGCACATTCTATACATAAGACATATCATTAAGTACAGTAAGGTATCCAAAGACAGGTCCTCTATCGTTAATAAGTATAATATCTAGAATTAAATCTGAACTATTGTATAACTGATGGTGAAATAAGACCATTAAGACAAGGACAAATGGTTTTGTGACAAAAAATTATATTCTTTTATTTTGCAAAGATGACTCTAAAGTGAACAGATTTTTGGCCTTAGAAATTGTATTAGTTATCTATAGTGATATAACAAATATAGAAATTGTATTAGTTATCTATTGTGATATAACAAATTAGTATAAAATTTAGCAGCATACTACAACACATATTTCTTATTTCACACAGTTTCTGAGGATCAGGAATCCAGGGCAGGTTTAGCGGAGTGTTCTGGCCCAGGGTCTCTCAGGAGGTTTTAGCTATTAGACAGGGATGTAATCATCTGAAGGCTAGACTAAGGCTATCTCATGGCCCACGCATATGGCTATGGATGAAAGGCCTCAATTCATTGCTGGCTTTTGGCAAAAGGTCTCTGTTCTCCTCATGTAAGCCTTTCCCCAGGGCTGCTCTGAACATGACAGTTGGCTTCCCCCAGAGCCAGTGGTCCATGAGAGTGAGCAAGGACGATGATGCCACAGTGACTTGATGACCTAGTCTCTAAAGTTACATTCTGACACTTCCGCTTTCTGCTATTCATTGGAATTGGAGTCACTAAGTCCAATCCATTTGTAAGGTGAGGAAGATTAGGCTATACTCCTGAAAGAGGGAGTACAAAGACACTATGGATATATTTTCCAACTACCACAGAAGTGATGTTAATGCCTCACTTAAATAATTTAGTTGAACTTTTTTGCATGTAGAAGAACTCTGTTTCCATGTACTTGCTATTTTTGTTGGTAACTTTTTAATCACAGCTTTTGCATTTCCTGATTTAAAATGTAACACATGTTCATTATAACATATTTAATAAGCAGAGAAAATTTTTAAAAAGTGAATCATCGATAATTCTATAATCCAGACATAACCACATTGAATATGTCTTCAGTTTGTGAGTTATATATACAAATGCCAGTGTTCACACACATATAAACACATATTTTATGGATAGGAAATGTTTTAGAACATTTGTGTGTATAGCCTTATTTAGGTACATAAGGAGAATTTACTCCTATAATTAAAATTCATTTGGGAACAATTCTAATAGCTGCATAACATTCTATGGATAAGTATTTCTTTCCTCCTTTCATCTTTCTTCTATATTTGACATTTAGGCTATTTTTTTGACAACAATAAATAGGAACATAGCAAGTATATTTGCATAATAATATGACTGATTATTTCAATATAAGATTCTAAAAATAGAATTATAATATGAAATTATAGCTTAATTGTTCTAGTTATATACATTTGTATTGCTACAGTAGTTTGAGAGTCCATCTCATTGTAATTTGTTGAGTATTTAATATTGTCCCTTCTTAATCTTTACTGATTTAATAGGCCAAAAAGTATATTTTACTTTTCTTTAATTTGTGTTTTGTTGACATGCCAGTTATTTTTTGCTTCTCTGTTCCAAATTCATTCTTTGCTGCCAGCTTTGTGAAATGGATATAGACCCTTTAAATATGTTTTCTTCTCAGCTTGGATGCCATGCTTTGCCAGCAGAGGGCACTGGAGAAGCACCGTAGGAGGAAGTCTGTCTTTCCTGATTCCTAGTGGCTGGCTGGGTGGCCGGCTTTTTCTCCACTGCTCTGCCCAGTGCTGGTTGCCGGTGGCTTGCAGTTTTCTCTAGCCTTTATTTCCCCCACTGCTTTCCCAGTTTTTGATTGGGTTTGTGGTGGCATAACCCGGAGCCCCAGGCAGGCCTGTGCCCTACTCACATCATTGCTCTCTGCACCTTCTCCTCAACATGGTGCATGTGCCCTGAGAGGGCCCTGTGGGCTGGCCATCTGGTGAGCCACTTGCCTGGCCTTTATCCCATGCTGCCTTAAAGGTGCCACAGAACCAAACCACACACAGAGTTGTCCTAGGTTTCTTCAAAGGAGGCCCTTCCAGCTCCCAGTCCTAGCAGCTCCCTGACTCTCTGTGCCAACCCTGCAGCCTCCGTTTACCTGTGCCTCTAAACCAGTGGTTCTCAACCTGTGGGTCGCGACCCTTTGGGGGTCGAACGACCCTTTCACAGGGGTCGCCTAAGACCATCGGAAAGCACATATCTAATTGCATATTGTTTTTGTGATTAATCACTATGCTTTAATTATGTTCAACTTGTAACAATAAAATTGGGGGTCACCACAACATGAGGAACTGTATTAAAAGGGTCGCGGCATTAGGAAGGTTGAGAACCACTGCAACCATTTCCTGGGGACCTCCAGACACAGACCCTATGTGATCTGAGCCTTGCACCTGCAGCGAAGTCCCAGGTCTCTCTGCCCACCTGCCCACCTGCCCCAGCTGACCCACCTCCCAGAGGTTGTTTACCTGCTCGCCCTCTGGCTGTGGCCCTGCTTGGTGTGGGCACCCAGCCAACTTCTCCTCCATCCAGTGGGTTGCAACCACACCTTCTCCAGTGAATTCTCAATCCCTCCTTCCAAGCTTTTCCTTTTTGGAGCACTCTTCCTCAGCCATAGGCATCCTCTTTCCATCTTTTAGTTATTCTCCTATCACAGCTTAATAATTCTTTATACCTAACACCCCTGTTTAAATGACTGTGTGGTTTCTGTCTGCTGATTGGACATAGACTAATTGATTACGTTAAGATACAACTTTTTCATATACTTAGTAGCCATTTGCATTTCCTCTTCTGTGATTTTACTTTACATCTCATCTGCCTTTTTTTTTTTTTCTATCTGACACTTCGAGTATTTTTCTTATGGATTCTATAGAATTTCAATATATTAAAGGTAAATCTTTTGTCATATTTATGACAGGTACTTGATGGTACTTTAAGTTTATTTAAAAAATATTTTTATTGATTTCAGAGAGGAATAGAAACATCAATGATGAGAGAATCATTGATTGGCTGCCTCCTGCACATCCCCTACTGGGGATCGAGCCCACAACCCAAACAATTTAATACAATGGATATGAGAAATGCAAATGGAAGTAATTTCCAGAATGGAAAAAAGCTGCATAGAACTCCATTTTAATATAAAGTTCATAAATAAAAACACAGATGAGACTGCGCCATTCTCAGTGTTTTGTGTTTTTTTCCAAATTGGTTTAGCAACTTGTAAATGGCCTGAGCACTGTTTTACAGAATGAGGTGCCTTGGAGAAAAGAGCAGAACTCCAGATTCCTTCCACAGATTCAGCTCTTAGAGCTCTGCATACCCCTTTGTATTCACTCAGTAACAATGGTTACTGTGGGCCAAGTCTTGGCCAAGCTGATTAACCATGTGAAGTCTCTGTGGTTTATATGTTTGGAAAAAGAAAGAAAACT